TTATTATTACTATTATTATCATGATTACTGTTGATGTTGACATGCCTGGAAAGAAAGTTGATCATGTTTAAAATTTAAAATTTTGAGATCTACGTCTTTGAAAAAATCAAGAGAACTTATGATTAACCCTAACCCTAACCCTAACCCTAACCCTGATTGTGAAAATTAACTCTTGTAGTCTATGTACTGTGGCAGTACAAAAGATACCAGGCAAGGCTACTTGTAGATTCATTGTTGATCCATGGTAAGTAACACATACATTACTAGGTAGGCATACGTAGTATAATATTAGAAAGCATTTTTAAAGATGTTAAAAGGATCTTATAACAACAACTTATCTGCTAGGCTTTACTTTCTCCTAAACACGATTTAAAGGAAGGGGGACAGGGGTAACATCCGTCTTCAAGTAGACAATACAGGTACCATCAGTTGATCAAATTAGACACTTCTTTGATATATACGAGTCTTTTTCTTGTTCTTAACGACATTTGTGCTCTTTATCAACCATTTTATAAGTAAAAGGTCAAAATTTTTTACAAATAAAAGTTTCAATAAAATAAAATCTTGAAGAAAGGGATAGCAAAGTACTATTGATAAAGCATCTTCCTGTGGATAAACGGGTAGTATCATCCAAAAGTATAAGATAAATTACCATTAACGAAATATGAAACAGATGTGCCAGGCAGGGTAGTTTTTATTATTCCAGTAATTATCGACCAGTCGGCTGGGGATACTCACTCGTTCATTGCACCTGATCCCAATCTGATGTTTTGGATGTCAGTATTTGCTTTACTCGTATATGTTTCTATGTATTTGTTATCTCCATGTTTTGCTCCTTTTTTGAGAAAATAAAATGATCAGGTAAATTAAAATTATTGTAAAAAATTGGATTACCTTCATTTTTCATTTTAAATTCATGGCTGATATTCTTTTTTAAGAGAACTCTTGGTTTCACCAACACGAACAGGTCGAGAATGATTACATTCCTTTCCACAGACAACATCAGAAGATTTCTATTTCAGATATGAGCCACCAAACGTGGCTTAGCTTTTATTGAGATGAAGATTTTTAAAAGGTTTTTCTCTATATACTCATGTATGGAACTTCGACCGTTCGTTGAGAAACAACTCCACCATTGGTAGGGTCATCCTTTGAACAAATTAAATCTTCGCCATCAGCAGATGCTTTCACAATAAAATGATCATCGTTTTTTCGCTGTTCTTAAAAAGATTTTTCTTCTGTACATTTTAAGATTTTTCAAATATATTCCTATTTAAAGCCTTGGTCGCCCATTGTGACCCACTACCCCCTGGGGGTAATGATTAAATAAAAACCAGAATCTACGCTATCTGACAATAATTCCACATGAATTTCGTATTTCCTGGCCTAATGGTTCTTCATCAGAAGATTTTAATGATGTAATTTTTTTGGTATTTCTTAATGGTCTGTCCATTTGAAGATGACATGAGCATGAACAAATTTGAGCTTCATTTGGCCCAATGATACTCTTGATTGGTTGATAATGACCGAGAAGTTTTGGATAAGATGATATTGTTTACAGCAACAGCGAAAACAAGGTACAAATTTTGATCTCAAAAGCTCGCAGACAGAAAGGCAGAAATCAAAGAGAGAGAGAGAGATACTTTAATTTGAGGCAACACGTCTAACCAAGCAACAATTCTAACCGAATAACCTTAACACTGGAGTTCTTAAAGAAGATATAACAAGATTTTCCCTTTTTTTCCCCTTTTTTTATTGACTTGAAAATCATTTATCTAATATCAGCGAATCATCCAACTACTGGTCCAGATGCACTTCTGAGAACGAAAATAAAATATACAGATGACGTGTATTTTATAAATCATCTCAACGTGAACTTTTTATACAGTACATACGTACATGTATATGTAAACCAAGATCTATATATTTTATGTACCCTTTATATATACAGTTCATATGTAGAAACAAAAATTACTATAATAAAAAAAAACTATAATAATTCATTAAATTACATTGTATTTCATACAGTGAGTTTATAAAACAGCAGTCTTTTTTTTTTACAATAATTCATGAAATGCGTGAATTTGTTAAAATTTTGAAAATCAAAGCTTATAACTAATATTTTGCTTAGCGTCAGAACTAGTTCAATTTTATCGTCAAAAACATTTTAAAGGGTGACTTTTATACATTTCTGCTCATAGTTTATGGTTTTTACATGTAATTGAGAACTAATTTCCCACTACTTTGTGGATATATTGCATCAGTGTAGCTAATAATAAGGGTACACGGTGTTATACATTCGATCTCTACTCTGTCCCTTTTAATGACATTTGGAAACTTCAGAATTGAATGCTAATTGATATTTGTGTATGTTTCAGTGGATTTCAATTAACTTTACTTCACCTTCAATAATGTACTGTCTTGATTTAGACCCAGAATAAATAGAATTTTCAATCTCAAATAAATTGAAGTACTCAATGAATTTAAAGCCAATATATGCTGTTAATGTTTTTTTTTTTTTTTTTTTTTTTTTTTGTGAGATTGGAAATAGAGGTATAAAAAAAAATTCTCTATGTCCTGCTTACGTTTAATAGATATGAAATTTCGTTTCCTCAGTTTTTTTAATATACAAATACTTACGGTTGCTCACAAATGAAATATTGTCTAAGAGAACATTGTGCATCGTTCCATAGATAACCATTAACTGCAGACATTTCCATGCAGTTTTGGCCAGATTGAAGGTTATTTGGCTGTCCGGGGCCCCAATTTGTGTAATGATATACTGGAGTCTGTGATAAAGCCCACATCCAATCTCCCTCTATTATGACGTCAGTTCCGCCTACCCAGAAGTTAGCTGTTCACAGATAATTAATACATAAGATAGCCGATAAACTTTCAAAATTTCTTTTGTTCGTAGCACAACATGGTGGTATTTGAAATATATTTCTTCTGCTGTTGAACTTCATTTAGTTCTACTTTGAATATTTCTTTTACAGCTCTGTTAATATTAACATTACCGTGCCGTCCATAGTCTTTGAGGTGCTGGATCAGAAAGTTATCTGTTCTATTGTTGCAAATTTCAGCCAGTCTAGAGTTTTGTGTGTGACAAAATTGCTTCAAGAATAAAATAAAATCGTCCAGTAATATAATAACACTAAATTTTGGATGCATCGACATTCTTTTTTAAATGAACTAGAACAATTACTGGTAAGAAAATATTTCATCAAATTGATATCAATAATATTTTGTACAATAATGGGCGAAAAGGAAAATAGAAGAAGTTGACTATATTGAATTCGTGAACCGTTTTTAGTGAATCAAAAATACATACTGTCTGTAGTAGTAGTATTTATTTTGATATACTTGTAGATCATCAGATAATTATTCTTTATTCTAGTTTTTTAAAACGGAGTTTTGCCTTATGTTTATCTTTATCAAAGATTGAAAAGGATATGTCAAAATCAGAATCATATGTTTTAGAAATTTCTGATAATGAATAAGAAAACAGAAAACAATTTCGAAGCAAAATAGCGAAAACAACTCTTTTTTCTCTTTACATTATGATGAACAAAATCCGACAGAAAATTAAGCATCACTATCTTAGGAATATCGTAGTTGTATCTTTTTTAATTGGTTATAGCTATCAAAATTAGTAAACTTTGTCAAAGTTAAGGTCAAGATCTAGTAAATAACTTTAGACTAACTTTTTGTGCAAGATCCATTATGACGTCATAATCAATTTCAACTTTCTTTTCCCGTACTTTACGGCTTTAGTAGAATTATGTAGAAAATAGGGTATTTTCTTGGCATTCAATTTCAAATCATATGAAAAGTAAACCGGATACCTATATTAAATTTGATATTGATTTAAAGAAAAGGCCATGAACGTACTAATTACTGTTTTCTGATAGACTGTAGGCAATGTGGATACATTTCCTTTGTCGAATATGAAAAAAACTCCCATATTCATGACTGGTTTTCTTAATTTTTCATTGAAAATGACAGTTCAAAATACAGTTTTTCATCTTGTTTACCTATAAATTATGCCCCGAAACACCTTATTTGACCAAGCTAAAGTTGTAAAGCATCAATAATGGAATTTATTTCTCAGATATGATAAATCTGTAGGCACCTTTCATTTACTAGATCTTGACCTTAAGGAAGAATTGAATTTTTTTCGTCAAATGGTTTCGAAAAAAATGAAACTAAACAAAAAAAAAAAAAAAAAACATACGAAACAAAACAAAAAAAATCCGGTGATATTTGCTAATCTTAATATGTTTTGTTATCATCGATGAAAGAAGCCGATGTAAAACGGTTTCAATAATTCATAGCGTATATCCTCTGTATTAGCATTAATTAATTTACGTTTCTCTACCAACAAATGTTCTTACCGATGCTTCGTTCCAGTCCGCTGACATATGCATGACAAACAGGTAACACCTCGAGTTGTATCCAGTCCAGCCATTCTGACACGTGGTACCACTACTGACACCTACAATCACATAATTATTTGCTTAATTGAGAATTTTCAAGGGCCCTGTACATGTTTTATATCATGATATTTGAGGTTTTTAGAATGACAGGTTCCTTCATAATTATTTCTAGATTCAAAAAAAGGAAAATGTAAATTTAAGCATTCCCATTTCAACTAAATCTTATTCTAAGTCTTTATTACATTTAAAACCAACTAATTTTAACATATTTTTTTCTTTTTCGTTGCTAAAAATAATGAAAATTAACTTTTCTTTTGCTTTTTAATGAGTGCTACAAGTGTTATTTACGGGTCATTTTCAAAAAAGTTCACTTTTTTGTCTTTTGATCAGAAGGATATGGAAATAACAAACAGTATTCAATCTCAAAGTCCATTAAACAATATACAAAATAAGAGCAGAGCAAACACGGACCTCCGAAGCATCGGAGGTGGGATCAGGTGCCATGGAGGAGAGAACATCATCTGTCGACCGGTCACACCCGCCATGTGCGTATTGTCATGATCAGGAAATAACGGAAAAGTGTATAAATAATGGACTAACAATTAGAATGAAAAAAAGTCAGTCAGCGTTTGACTCAATGATAAATTGTATTTGCTGACAACGCGGGTATGTTAAGGAAGCATTAAGACTTTTAAAGAAAATTAAGTTTGATAATTTACCAAAACCTCTGATAAACGTAAACTGTTATTAACTATTGCATACAGATAAAAGAGTGTCTAATGCAAAGACGTACAACACCGCCACAGCATCACGTGACTTCTATTAATAGCGAAATTTTTCCTTAATAAAAAAGCTAACAGAACAACAATACTCCGGAGTTTCATACTTTCTTTGAGTAAATAATGCAGTTGAAAAACATCTAATTTTCCTAAAAAGTGCTGCTAGAATCCCACTGTTCTTTCAATAAAATAATTATTCCATATATTCGCACGAAACCTTACTCTCTGTTTTGAATTTTATACATATGAACCGAGATTTCTCGTTAAACCATGTTTAACTCGGGATTCTAGCAGCACTTTCTAAGTTTTTCGGAGGGCAAACTTTCTATATGTACAAATCTTATGTTTTGAAATATCCAGGTTATTGTTGTTCTATTGCATTATTTTTGTCACGAATGACAGAGGAAAGGCCGACCCGGTTACGTTGTATATAGCTAACTGTCTTCAAAGAAAATATAATCTACGAAAATAAATTAGCATACCTGTATAATCAACTGAACTCCATATGAATTTCACATAACATTCACGATCTTCCCCTTTAAACTCCATTTTACGTATCTTTGTACATGCTCTTTTAGCCAAATTCTCTTTACAAAACATGATCAATTCCCAACGTACTTGATGTACACATATGACGTCATCGGTGGTAGATTATAATCAAAATGACAGATACAGCATATCAAAATAAAAACATTTTTATTTTTTTTAGTATTTTTTATTTATTCAATATTTTCTATTTATTTTCTAGAGTTCAATAACATCTCTAAATACCAATATTATGAAAACTTGTGTTCTATAATTGACGTCATCTTGCCTACTATGACGTCATAATGTAGCACTGATTTAGTCGAGGTAGAATATTTTGTATGCTTCCTTATTACCCCTGCAAAGGTCCTTGTATCGACCATGATAGAACTTACGAAATGATGATTTTAAACGAGACTGCTGATATTCTTGTTTCATCAACTTGCTTGTCAATAATTGACCTCGTTTAAGAAATTGTTCATAAGAAGAGCATGCTCTTGCGTATCGAATCAACTGAGATATATATATACTCCGTATGCAGGTGATGAAAGTATATTGCTGCATAAGTAAGGGAAGTTGACGATAGAAAAGTTAAAGTTATCACGTTTATCATATAGCTTGGTTTGTTAGATTACCACTGGTGCCTTTTTCAAGTAAAATATCCAAATATGAAACAGAAGTGTCGGACTCTATGGTATCTTTTATCTCAAGCTCACCAGCATATATCGTATTGACGTAGGAATGGAAATTATCATTATTAATTGACAATACATCGTCGATATATCTAAATGTTGAGTTGAAGGCCACAGCAAGTGTTTTCTTCTTTTCACGCATATGAATATATAAATAAGTCTGCTAATAATGGAGCGCAATTTGTACCCAAGGGAATTCCAATAGATTGTTGGAATTCCTGGTCTCCAAGAACCACATAGATATTGTCAATCAGAAACTCAGGCATCTTTTTGATGTTAACTTCAGAGAACTTATGTGAGCAATCAGAATCTGTTTTAACCAAATTATTTTGCAAATGACCAATGACGAGGTAAGTAAATTTACGAATTCCATTTTCATTGAAGAAGCAGCTGTCAATGATATCGAAAAGCCTGGATTTAATTTGTCGTGGGGAATTGTTGTGTATATAGATGAAAAGTCGTATCAGAATAATAGGTAAAAAATTATCTTTAGAGTTAAATTGTTTTTCCAGTTGGTTAATATACATGATATTACAGCAGTCATTTCATGATCATCTCCCAGATGTTTTGTAAGAAATATTCTATGCATTCCACGTAAACTTTAAAGCAATATGACCTGCATGTTTGACATCGGAAAATTTTACTGAACATTTGTAATTAACTACATGTAATTTAATGACAGAAAGATAATTTATTTTTAAACTCCTGTTGCTCATATTTGCAATGGGAATTTTTTTTATTAGCTTTGAACTGTATATTCGGTTGTACAGAAATATTTCTTCTGAAACATTTTTAAACTTTATTTTGGGCTTATTGATCATAAAAGTTTAAATTACACACCAATGGATCATACTAGCACATTTTACCATAAAAATAAAAATTCTCAAAGATACAGCTCATATTGCTTTAACAGTAAACCATGTGACATTGACAGACTTTTTACAACGTGCTTAGTAAATGATGGGGAAACTATTACCTTGTTCAATTGAAGACATTCACAGATTAATTCAATATGGTGTTTTACTTATGCCGCCCAGTAAATATTAGTATTGTGCATTTAACATTGAGGAAGTGACACATCCTACCAGTTTATGTCATTCCTGTTACCAAAAAGAAAATGTTAAAATAAAAGTCATTTTCCTAGGAAATGTTTTCAGGATCCTCGATATATCATCATTTTCTGTTGTCTCAAGTTTATGAGCGCCTGGATTTGAAAGTGAATAAAGAAAGGGTTCAAATTTCGATAATTTTGCCTTATTGGTAGTGTATAATGAAAATATACCCTAGCTGTTACCTTCATAATACGCAAGTACTCTTTAAATTGTTTATTCTACAATTAGAACAATTAGATGAACTAAGTTACAAAGAAATGGTTTCAATGTATCGATGATGCTAAAAGAGTACATTATACTAAATAAGGGGTGATTCATATGAGAAACGTCCATCCTGTAACCGTCATTCCTGTTACCATAGACATGGTAACAGTGAAGAAAACTGGACTTCGTATCTTGAGTTTTAACAAAAAAAACAATTAATTTTATTTTTCTGAGAAATATAAGATTAATTACAAATATGAAAAAAACTTCTTAAATCTTATTGAAATACTGTGCAAGTGGACTACATTACGGTGCTTTAAATTTCACTATGTTCACGATTTAAGAATTTTCCTCGAACTTTAAACCACCGTGATTATTATTTCACTTCATTTCTAGCTTAAAACAGGCAAAGCACACGAGTATTTATAAACGGTTGACCGTGAAATTCAAAACAACCGTGAAAGGTAACTTTCTAATAACCGTGAAATTTTAGACACGTCAAATTAAAAACGTCTACAGTACGCCTGTGCTTGAAATATATAGTGCCATTTTAACTTAAACATACACTCTTGTAACAGAATAAACAGAAATTTTGGGTATTCATAGACCTATTTTGGGTATTCATAGACCTACTGTAAACCAACTTTTATTCGCGTGCGAGAAATTTTCGCAAAGTTCGCGAAAACCTCGTCATCGCGAATATTTCTCGCCGCAAACTAGTCCTGAAAGTCTTTATGTCTTAACAACAGATCAATAAAGGTTTGATCGCGAAAATGAATCGTCGTGAACTAGCTTAACCCCGGTAAATCGCGAAATAAAGTCGTCGCGAATAAAAGTTGGTTTACAGTATTTACCCCATGGGGATCCGGGTTAGAATAGGTCCTCAGTACCCCCTTGCTCGTCGTAAAAGGCGACTAAATGGGGCGGTCCTTCGGATGAGACCGTATAAACCGAGGCCCCGTGTCACAGCAGATGTGGCACGATAAAGATCCCTACCTGCTCAAAGGCCGTAAGTGCCGAGCATAGGCTTAAATTTGCAGCCCTTCACAGGCAATGGTGACGTCTCCATATCAGTGAAATATTCTGGAGTGGGACGTTAAACAGTATACAATCAATCAATCATAGACATATTTTAGTTGTATCATTTGTTTTACCTATAATTATGAATATTTCTTAGTTTTGTAACAGCATGGAGTACCTTCAATGTATAGAAAATGAAGAGAGATATATTTTAATAGCACTTTACAATTAAATTTCGTAACAGGATGGACATAAAGCTCTTTGGTTGTCTCGAATTTGCCAGATTTAACAATATCATGTTTTTTATTCTACATTTCTTTCGCTTTTCTTAACCAATAAAGTTATAAAAAGTCTAATTTTTGTTTTATTTCTAGATTCCATTGTCCATCCTGATACACTGTTTTGTTCATGCTGTTACTGTTTTGTTCTTCCTGTTACCCGAATCCTTACTGTTACTAATATTTTTTCCTAGTTTAAATTGCTTTGGTAGAACACCTGTTAAATCAACTTTCTGTAATTGCTTATTCTCATTACCAAAATAATGTACAAGTATGTTTTTTTTCAACTTTAGTGTATAAACATTTCGCAATAAGGTTTTTCAAGATGTTGCTTCTGCTTGGTATATGATAGTTTGACATGCTTTTAAACAGTCATATATTAGATATATAGAGGATATCTATATTGTTTGATTTGGTATCGGCTTTATCGAACGAGTTGAAATAGTGTA